TTTCTTTGATTTACCACCAGAGGGCACAGCTTCAACTCTTTCCAAGAGTTTTTAGCGAGAGCTATCAGAAAAGTCAGTGCTGTCAGCTTTTACCCTGCACTGTTACCTAAGGGAGTTAATGCAAAGGGTGCTGCAGGCACTTTTCAGCTCTACAGCGTTGCCACTGACAGATTTTCTTTCTTGGGAGCCTTTTGCCAAGCTTATCTTGAAAGAGGCCAGTGTAGAACAAGAGCAATATTACCTCATTCTGTATCTATGCGTGTGTGCTTATATAAAGAGTAGAGTGTATATCTGGAAACCACACCACCACCTAAAATCTATCTATACTATGTGCTAAGTTTTACTTGAAGCTTTTTCTAGATGTGTACAATAGAGGGCTATGGATAATGGCTCTGCTGCAAGCCCACCTATTTAGGACCAGCAAAAGGTGATGCACTAGAGAGGTGAGTTCTAGAGCTGCTTACACAACCAAACTTCCTTCCTTCTGTACTTCCATCTGTTCTGCATCTGACCTTTTCTATTTGCATAGTACTGACTAAAGTATATAAGATTTCTTATTGTTCATTATTTGAGATCTTCCTGGTGAGGGAGGTTGTTCCTGACTTAATTTTAATAGAATGACAGGGAGAGTCTTTCCAGCTGTTGAACTGGAACTCTATGGGAGGAGCCTTTCTTGGAATATAATTGTTATATGTTGGAGGCTTGATGGATGCTTTCCTCCTTCTCTTTGGCTGACAGGCATAGAAAGGTCAGTCATGGAGAACTCTTTAGGCTAGGTAAACTTTAAAAAAAAATACAAAGCAAAATAAAAGACCATCAGCCAACCCTAATGTCTCCTAATCATTCCTCTGTCTGACTGCCATGTATGCTGCTTGCCACAGCATTTTCATTTATAAATTATTAAAAAAATTCCTGTAAAATAGATTAGAGATGCATAACAAGAAAAATGCATGCATCTATTTATATTTTAAAGTTGGCTAGTAGAATGATGTGTGGTCAAGCAGGTCACAAGTCCTAGGCACTCCCTAAGGCTGTGGTGTATCAGTTCCTGTTTCCCCCCCTGCACCTTCATTGCAGCAGCTGCTGCTCCAGCAGCAGGGAGGGCACCAAAGCAGTAGTGATGCATTCTGTGGCAGCATTGAACAGAAGTTTGCTGTTGTTGAGGGAGGCGTCGCCAAAACTGGTAGTTTTGGCCACTCTCATATATGTGTCAGCAAGGAAAAAAAGGAAGTAATATGATCTCCCCCCGCAGCAGTAACCCTTGGATGCTGTTCCTGCTCCACTGTCACTGCCGCTGCTGCTCGACCCGTCTTTGCTTCTGGATTCAGAGCTGCAGCTGCTTCAGGGAAGGTGGAGGGTGTTGGGCAGGGGGGCGGGGGGGCCAATGGAGTGGTCACACTACTGCCTAGGGTATGGTACTAGCTGCTTACATCTCTGAGTCTGCCTTTTCCGTGATTTGTTTGTAAGGTCCAGTTCTTCTGCCATTGTAGATTATGACAAACCCCCTATTGATTTCAGTGGTAGCAGGGTTAGTATCACAGTGAGAGATGAGAGCCAGTGTGAGTAAAATAAATATTACCAATACCGTTATATGCTAATGTGTGTATATGGTATATAGACATATCATATAATCTATATTTTCACTGTATCTTCCCTAGATCTTCTAAATTACTATTAGTTTTGGGATTCTTTTTCAGGATATGGAAGCAAAATGACTGAAAGTCAGTAAATGCACTGCTGGATCAGAAATGTGAATTTTACTCATACTTAGTCTTATACTGAGAGAGGTTTGTTTCGCATTAGATGGGCTTTTTTCCCCCCTATGCAGTGTTTTAAAAAGTTATGTACATGCATAATCATATGCAGCACTTTATTGCTGATTTTGGCAGTGCACAAAAGCAAAAATGTAATTTGCTATTTTCTAAAAGTGTGTGTGTTTATGTAATGGATTTGTGCATCGGTTGCAGCCTGTAACACAGTTAAGTGTTTTAATTGGCAGAACACCCACATCAAGACTTGTTTGTTTTTCTGATAAGGAAAATGCCAGCTAAGTTACTCCATATGTTCTGTTCAAATAAGAAGAGGCATATTCACATGTAATGGCCATCTTTAAAAAAAAAAAAAAAAAAAAAAAATCAGAAAAAAGTAAAATGAAACTAATGTGAAGCAAAAATGTATTTATGCATAACCATGTATTTTATGTTAATTTTAATAAACAGTAAATAGTTTTGCTTATGAACACAGATCAGCTTGCATTTTAAGTGTTTTTAGTTTATTACAGCACATGTTGATGACCAGACTAATATGTCTGAAGAGTAGAAGTGTTTATTATTTATAGTATTTTTTTTCTCAAAAACATTTACAGTCTTTAATTTTCTAGTAAATGAATGGTGGCTTTCAAAGACTCAAAACATATTTAATACTGTTGAACGTCGGTGTACTAAAGAAATGCGTTGAAGTGGGTAGTAAGACAAAGTGGAAAAAAATTACTGATCAAGGATCTCTGGGTAATAAGACAGGCCTGCTTAATAATTGTCCTGAAGGAACTTGATTGGGGACTGGGACTAAGTACGGGGAGTCTAAAAGCCTGAGACTGAATCAGTTCAATCTTTTCAGGTTAGTCTAAGCTACATAGATTGAACCAATAAGCAAGTGAACAGATATTCACTTCTGATTCTAGAAATATAGACACATGCCTGTTGTGGCTCAGGCCAGAAGCCAGGGGGTACTAGAGCACACTTTCCTGCTCAGTTGGGGCAGTCAGCTTGGGCCAAGGTTAGCCTGCCCACCCTGCAAGGGGGGAGTTTGTGCGGGAGGTGCAAAGTATTGGAAATGCCGGGGGTCGGTGAGTTAACTTGAATCTGGAGGGGACCTGGGACAGAAGTTCAGTAAACTGATTTAACCTAAATCAGTTAAGTCTGGTACTACATCCATCCAGGTTTATCTTAAACTGGTTTGGGCCTTTTTATAAGCAGTGCATATGCACTGAACTTCTGTTGTGTTATAGATTTGAACTGGTTTCCGATCACTTATACTTGGTTTACATGTAATTTCTGTCCCTAGCCTAGGGCTCCACAGCTGCTTCTGATTCTTCAGAGAACACTGGAAAACCTCCACACTCTTTATCAAGCTGAGAAGTTTTGAATAGGCAACTCCTTTGTTCTCTGTACAGAAAAGAGGCCCTGACATTGACTAGCTTTCCAGGATGGCTTTTGAATTCTTGATGATAATATCATTGAACTCCACACAGGATCTGATCCTGAAGTCTAAATATATACAAAAACAACCCCACTGATTTCAGTTCCTATTGACTTCTAATACAGGCATTTTGTAGACATTATTCAAAGTAAGACCTCCCTTTGGAACAGGTGTAAAACTTTTATTTCACTAAGGTGATGCTCACATACCTGGATGTTGTTTTCCTCCTTATGATGCTGTGTAGATAGATCCAGAGTGACTATGACTCATCAGTGACAGATAACTTGAGTTGAAAAAAACAGAACAGTGCTATAGTTTCAAGAATTTAGCATGTGAAATTAGATGCTAATGTGTAATATCTAAAAGATTTGAGTTGCATTACATCTGTTGATTTACTTTAACGGTTCTTATGACTAAGACCTCATGAAATACAATAAACTATAGACAGAGGTATTTATAAGCATTGAGAGAGACATTTTTGTATTCTTTGGTATCATAATTAAGAGATTGGACAAGAACCAGCTATAGATGTAGTCATGCTTTTAAAAAAAATATATTTAAAATAATATATGTCTAAACAATATATTGAAAATGTTTTTTATTTACTTTGTCTTCAGAACATTGTGTATCAAAATAACACAAACTTGAAAGTAATCAAGCAAAACTGGCCAAGTTCAGGACCGACAAAATTTAATATCATCAGCTTTCACAGTACCTGAATTTGGCCTAGTATGTTGCAGTATATTTTGATCTGGTACATGGTATTGGTGAGCTTTTAAGTATTTGGTTTCATTTCTGACAGTAGGTTATGAGAAATTAAGATAAATGTAAATGGTGGCCATGGTTTTTTTTTCTTTTTTGTTGCACCTAAAATTAAGATTTCTGGATCACCCTCAGGTTCATTAATTACATTAAATGTTGTAGTTTCAAAGTCTAAAAATAAATTCTATACGTAATTGTAATCTGATTACATTGCTAGTTAAGAAATGGCCAGAAATCTCACAGCAGTATGGGGACATGTAGAACACAAAAATGAAAGAATAACATGTTGAAAAAGTCTTGCTCAGAGACTTGCTACTTTTGTTTCTTTTCATATTGTTTCACTTACAAGTAACAGACTATGTCATTTAGGGTCTCAAAAAAAAAAAGAATTTAAAGCAGATTTAGTAAACTTTTTATATGTTAGATAATCTTAGTTGCTAAATTTAACATGTTTTAATAATTATTGATTTTGATTAAATAATTTTTTAAAAACCCATCCCCACACTCTATTGTCAACCAACTCAGTTATTTGAGGGACTAGTGAAGCTAGGCCTTTTGAATTTAAGGCCAAAGGGAACCATTATCATATTGCACTCAGACTTCCTGCTTAATACAGGCTATATGACATCCACAGAAATGTTCCACATCCCAAGAGCTCTTAAAGGAAATTTGCTGACATTTAAAAAAAACCTTCAGTCAAACTATAGCAAAGATATTTTTAGAACTAACTGCAATGTAATTAATGCTTTATTTGCTGCTTTATAATGTCTATAGACAAATCTGTGTTGCAGTGTTAACAACTGGTGGCTACTCCCCTTCATGGTTTGGAAATGCATGGACATGTTGAAGCTTCTGAGGAATCTATTGTCATATCAGTTCCTGTGTACTAGAAGGATTATATTTTCATCTGATGTAAAGTAATAAATGAAGTAACAGCTTGTCTTTTACGTTCTTGAGTCAATCTCCAATTTTTATTGGCACTTATATATTTCACTGTTTATTTCATTAAATGAAATCTGTTTCTTTTATGGCCTGTGCAGAATGTGAAGGATGATGGGCAGCATGTATGGAGACTGAAACACTTTAACAAGCCTGCCTACTGTAATCTTTGCTTGAACATGTTAATAGGAGTAGGCAAGCAGGGTCTCTGCTGTTCTTGTGAGTATATGCATTTCATTGACCATTCTCCATATACTTTATATTAACAGTATTACAAATACCTATACACTCTTTAAACCTGGAGCAAATGCTCAGTCTTAAAGTACAGGGAAAAAATCAATGTATTGACACGGGGTTGGTAAAGTGTTAAGTGATTGGATTTCAAAACTTCCTATGAGAGTGTGTTCTATATCATAATAGAACTTCGTATTACAATAAACTCTCTTATCTTGCCTACATTTTTACACTTGCTTTATGTTTTATATTGCTATTATATATCCTGGTTATGAGAACAACCCTTCTTTGATATTTCCTCCTTTAAATATTTGTAAATAGTTATTCATATTCTTTATTAGTCATCAACTAGCATGGGTACTGAATACCATATTTAGTTATTCTAATCTTCCTTGTAATGCATTCTATCTGGTATATTTGGACCTAATTTTCAAAAGCTCAGATTCCTACGGTCTGGTATCCAATTTGCATAGAAGCTTTGATGGCATATGCAATTACTTGATTGGTTGTGCAATCACAAGACTTGATTCTGCCACTGTTACTCACATTTTTAGAGTTTAAGGCTGAAAGGACAATTACATCATCTAATCTAGTCTCCTTGATAATAGATAGTCTTACATTTCACCTGGATACCCCAGTATTGAGCCCAGTAACTCATTTTTGACTAAATCATAACTCAGATCTTTCTAAAGCATATTTTTAAAAAGGTGTTTTTTCCTGGTTTGAGGACATCATGAGATGGAAAATCCAGTGTTTCCTAAAGTAGTTGTTTTAAGCAGTTAACTATCCTTGTTATTAAAAAAATAAATAAATAAAAAAAATTGAGGGGGCGGAAGGGGGGGAGTTTTATTTGAATTGTTCTGGCTTTATTTTTCACGCTTTCTCTACTAGTTTTAATAATACTTGGTCTATTCTTCATGGGAACAGAATTAACTGCAATAAAGTCTCCTTTCAGTCTACTTTTTGCTAATCTAAACTTTTTTTCAGTTTCCTTACATTTTCAGTGTCCTTTGAATCAAAGTTACTGCATTACGAGTATGATGACCAGTAGCTTTCTGAGCAAGTAGGACTACTGATGCATTTCAGATTACTAATTGTAGATAAATGTGGCATAATTGGACATACATTTTTGGGAGGAGACACTGTCCCACTTAGGACATATTTAAAAAAATCCTCCATGCGTTTACTTACACCCTGAATAATCACACATGCAGAGTTTTGGAATAAAATATCCACTTTTATTCCAAATAATTTAAACTAATGGAAATCTATCAGGTTTAATACATGGTTATAATACAGTATAATAACCTAGGGAATTAATTTTCCTAAAGTCCTGAACTGGCTAATATATCATGGTCTATTGTGTCTTCTCTAGTATCATTACTCTCTCAACCTGTTGGAAACAAGTTGTCCTTATTCTAAAAACCAAATTTTATTTGTTTGAGAACTACAAAATCCCTTTGGATAAATACAGTGGATCCTTTCTTTTTGTATATATATTGGTATCATGAAAATAGGACTTTTCCTGTCTGTAAAATAAAACTGCTTTGATCCTATTTATAAATCTTTCTCAGTTGCTGTGAATGTGTCTTATTGTTTAGTATGGATCTCTTAATTTTTCTTGCTAATGATACCTGGAAGGAATGATAGCCCCAAATGAACAATGTGGGGAGCTCATGTGGGTTATTTTCAGTTTTTTCAAGTAGGAAGGAGTCTGGATATTCCTACAAAACCACTTCTGCAATTTTGCATCAAATTGAGCTCCACCTTCATTCCTTCCACAGGCAAAAAAAAATCTGCCCTCCCACATACTTTCAAAGCATTGCTATAGATTGCATTTTTTGTTTTAAATTGTGTGGGAGATGGAGAAAAAAAAAAAAAGGAACCGCAGGGGGGCCCACCATCCCTCCATGGCCCAATCAACAATGTTACTCCCTGCAGTTTGTCTGATTAATGGCTGCACCTCCCACTGGGTCTGTGTAATAGGTGCAAGTAAGGTGTTTAGAAGTGCTTTGTGCTAATTGCTGTCGAGGTCAAAAGCTTGAGACTTATCTGTTGCAGGGAGAAATTCACCTTTAAATAGTAGAATCTATTGAATGCTGTTGTTATAAGCAGTAGCATTATTTCCTCCTCAAAGCACAGTTATACTAATGTTAACTATTCAATCATCACAGAAATATAGTAGTAGAGTTTTATAATTGAAGTCAAGGGAGCTTTGCATCATAAACTGGCATTTTTATATTGCTCTATTATAGCTAGTGTGATCTTTATAGACAAGGTTTGTCAATAAAGACAAGTATGTAAAACAGATGGGGGTGGGTTTAGAAAAGGAAGCTTCTCTGTATAGAGGTAGTGTTATGGCAAGCCAGAGTTGAACTTTGGATGATTACAAAAAATGCATGACAACAATTGCTATCTGGAAATGGACTAATCAGCTGTTTAAGGTTTATAAATCAATAGAGGGAATAACATAAACTCACTGGCTTTTATTTTCATGCTTGCCAGCTGCTCTCGTGCCTATAGTTTGTAAAATATAGATTTCTTCCTACTAGCAAATGACACCAAACCATTTGGCAGTCATCATTTTGTCTTTAATATTTTTGCCGTTTGGGAATTATTTTGAAATAAAAAATTAGTGAGGACTGATTTAATTAAACAGGTCCTGCTTTGGGGTTGATAGACACTCTTGGATTTTTCACTTGCATATTTCCTGCAATAATTGATCTTTTCTATTCTATGGGAAAAAAACAATGTAGTTTGATTTTGATTTTTTTTTTTTTTTTTTTAGTGACCAGTTGGATTGATTGAATAGTAGGCATGAAGCAATGTTCTGCTAATGTTACTTATTTTATAAAATGTTACCAGAAGCTGTATTAACTCAGCATTAATAATATGTTTCTCTTTCAGTTTGCAAGTACACAGTGCATGAACGTTGTGTCTCAAGAGCACCTGCCTCTTGCATCAAAACATATGTGAAGTCCAAAAAGAACACTGAAGTAAGTCCATGGCAATATTTTATGTGGCACATAAATGTTAAAGTCAGTAACTCTACCTATGCCTGCATTTTTCTATCACAGGTAATGCACCATTTCTGGGTAGAAGGAAACTGTCCGACAAAATGTGACAAATGTCACAAAAATATAAAATGTTACCAAGGCCTGACTGGACTTCATTGTGTTTGGTGTCAGATCACAGTGAGTATCTACAGTCTGAGGATCTGTGAAAATGATAAACTTGATGGAACCTATTTACACCTTTTTAGATAGTAAAATGCACTATGGTGCTTCCTACTGTTTTTTCTGGGAAAGTAAGTGTTCTGTGGAGTTTGGCCAAAATCCACTGTGTATTGCACTTGCATAAGGGTAGAACAAAGGACATTCAGGAAGGCAGAATGACTTCAAAGATCTTGAGGGAACAAAGAGAGAGGAGAAAGTAGTGTATTAATCTATACACCAAGAGCAATCCTTGTTTAGCTAATGTAAATGGTGTGTTCTACAGCCGCCAATAACTGGGACCGAATGGCAGTCAAGGTATACTGCCTTTGTTGGTGGGGTCTTCATGACAGACAACACAATATTCACCATTTTTACTTCAAGTCAAAGCAGGATTTAAACATGTAGAGAGTCAGCACTCTTCCAGTATTTTTTTTTAATTCTGGCAGAGCAATAATTCATTTGTTCAGTGTTTTAAGGAATAATTTGAGAACAAAATATTTATGACTATTTGTAGTTGATGTACAAGGTTGTCTGTTTTAAGACTCATCTTTTCTTAATACAGTGGAACAAACTTTGAAACATTGTCTAAGAAAATAAATCCAGCATACCTCCAGTAATAAACTGTTATGATTATGTATAAACAACATTTCAGAAAGAAGCAAATGTGTAGTACAGGTTGTTCACAAGATTGGAATAGTTTATTTGGTGAGCAGAACACCTAATCCAAAGTATTTAAATTCAGGTAACTAAAGATAGAGAAATCTCAATCTGTATTTAGATATTTATATAAGAAGGTCCTGACTTTTTTTTTTCCAGAAGTGTTGAGCACCATAAACTCCAACTCTAAATAAAAACTGGAACTGCATAGCTCCTCTGAAAATTCTGTACCTATTAAATACCTATTTACACATGAATCTGGGGCCAGATTTTTAAGCATATTTAGGTGCTTAAAGATGTTGATAGGCATGTTGGGATTTTCAAAAGTGGATAGGTAGCCTATGTGGCACTGAGGAGTGAGGAGACCTAGGGGCTTGGGCATTCAAATTTGAAAATCTTGGCAGTATCATTTCTATAATTGATAACAATGACGTCAACATTTTAAGTCTTATCTGCATTTTTCTCAGAATAATACATTTTGTTTTCAATTCGTCTCTAAGATTTCAGATATAAATCAGTAATGCATAAGTAGTCTTGCCAACCTCTGAAAATACTTAAGATTTGTTTTTACACTACATCTACTATATTTTTTGCTTCCTTCTGATTCCAGTTCAGAAGCTTTTTTTAACCATTCTCCTGTAAATATTACATGCTGAAATGCTTTAGGTTCATCAATTTAAAAACAAACCAACATACCCCTAAATCTATAACATATACACAAGTGAGTTTGAATTATATACTGAAGAAATGAAACTATCATCACACCCTTATGATAATAGTGTCTTTTTACCTGGATATATACATCCCTCCTGCTGTTTGTGGCTGATACATTGTGTTGTGATGTGAGAGGTTGTTAGTTTTTACAAGGCTAATTCTAAATGTGTCTGTCTTCCCTTTTATATGTGCCCATTTTTTCTATAAATGCAGCAACAGAGAAACACACCTAGAAAAAGAATGTGACAGTATAACAAATAGTATTTAGCAGGCATTTAGCAAGGCAGTGAAGTCCTATACAAATGAATCTCTCTCTCTCTCCTGGCCCTATTCATGTCAACATAAACTCTTAGCAGGAGATAGGTTTAAAAAATGAGTCAAATCACATGATACTTCCCCATTCTAGAAAAAGCAAGCAACTAATTTTGCTGCATTTCTGTTTCTTGATTTTGATATAAAAAAGAGCTTAAAACATTGCAAATGCCAGAGGATTTTATGATATAATGATTCAGACACTTCTATGAAATTATAACATTAATAAATAAGTGCACATGCAAATAAGTGCACGTGTGTGTGCGCGCACACATGCACACACGCATATGCACATGCCTATGAATGACAGACTGCTTCTTCTCTGAAGATGTATTGAAGTTGGCCTCTCATAGCCTCAGATCAAGTATTGCTGTCCTTCTGGGACTATTTGCATATCTCATAAGAGAACCACGCAGCCAAAAGTGTTGATGGGCTTCAACACTGAAAAGTGCAAGGTGCTGCACCTGGGGAGGAAGAACCAGCAGCATACCCACAGGCTGCAGAACTCCCTTCTTGTCAGTGCAGAGGCAGAAAAGGATCTTGGAGTCATTATTGATGCCAAAATGAACATGGGCCGACAGTGCGGTGATGCGGTCAGGAAGGCCAACCGTACCTTGTCATGCATCCACAGATGCATCTCAGGCAGGTCCAAGGAGGTGATCTTCCCCCTCTATGCAACACTGGTCAGGCTGCACGTGGAGTACTGCGTCCAGTTCTGGGCACCGCACTTCAGGAGGGATGTGGACAATATGGAGAGGGTCCAGAGGAGGGCCACTAGCATGATCAGGGGGCAGCAGGGCAGGCCCTATGAGGAAAGGCTAAGGGACCTGAACCTCTTCAGCCTCCACAAGAGAAGGCTGTGGGGGGATCTAGTGGCCATTTACAAACTAACCAGGGGGGACCAGCAGGCATTGCGGGAGTCCCTGTTCCCCCGAGCACTCTCAGGAGTGACAAGAAATAACGGTCACAAGCTGGCAGAGGGTAGATTCAGACTAGACATCAGGAGGTGCTACTTCACTGTCAGGGCAGCTAGGATCTGGAACCAACTTCGAAGAGAAGTGGTGCTGGCTCCTACCCTGGGGGTCTTTAAGAGGAAGCTCGATGAACACCTTCCTGTGGTTGTTTGACCCCAGTACTCTTTCCTGCCATAGCAGGGGGTCAGACTTGATGATCTGCTCAGGTCCCTTCCAATCCTACAAACTATGAAACTATGGAACTAAGCGAATGATGGTTTGAGCAGAAAAACATGGCTGGCTCTTCACGAATCCCTAGATTTCTCAGTGGCTCCTAGGATTTCTCTGTGATTTGAATTCTACATCCCGTCCAACTAGCTACAGACTCTCACTTTAGAGGAGTTGTTGCCTCAGAAATTTCAGATACATTTCTGTGGAGTTTATTTTTATTTCTAAGCTCATTTTTCTCCAAGAAGAGCAACGGTATGTTGCTAAGTATTTTTTTAATGTAGGTTCATAGAGTAATAGAAGAAAAAGGGTGGAAAAGACCTCACAAGGTCATCCAGTCCACTCACTTCCTTGAGGTAGGATCATCCCTGACTAAGCCACCTCAGCCAACTTTCTATGCAGCCTGCTCTTGAAAATGTCCAGATATGGAGATTGCACCAATTTTCTAGGTAATCAATTCATTCCAATGCTTGACCACCCTCATAGCCAGAAAGTGCCTCCTAATCTCTAATCTAAATTTATTCTGCTGCAGTTTGAGACCATTGATCCTTGTGTTGTCCCCTACAACCATAGAGAATAGTCTACTTCCATTCTCTCTGTAGTTGCCCTTCAGGTATTAGAAGATTGTTATCAAATCCTCCCTCTGCTTTCTCTTCTCCAGACTAAATAACCCTAGTTTTTTCAGCCTTTCCTCATAAATCTTGTCCCCTAAAATCCTGATAATTTTTGTTGCTTTATTCTGGACTTTTTCCAAATTATCTGCATTCTTGAAGTGTGGGGCTTAGAACTGGACACAGTACTCCAGGACGGGCCCCATCAGTGCTGAAGAGAGTGAAAGAATAATTTACATTGATTTGCAAGTGACCTTCTTGTTGATACAACCTAGTATTCGTTTTGTTTTGTTTTGTTTTGTTTTGTTTTGTTTTGTTTTGTTTTGGTCAACAAGAGCACACTGTTGGTTCATTCTCAGTTTATGGTTTACCATAATCCCCAGGTCCTTCTCTGCAGTACTGCAGCCTAGTCAGTTATTCCCCAGTCTGTATTTATGCATTCAAATATTCTGTTCCAAATGCAGGGCTTTGCACGTAGCGCTCCTTAATTTCATTTTGTTGATTGCCAACTTAGTTCCATCCAGAAATACGATAAACAGTCAAGTCTGTCATCCATATAATTAATGAAGAGATCAAAACCGAATGCAGGACAGACCTCTGGGGAATCCCATTTGATGCCTCCTCCCAGATGGACGATGAACCATTGATGACTACTTGCTCAGTATGATTATCCAACCACTTATGTATCCACCATACATTTCTTTCATCAAGTCTGTATTTCCTTAGCTTGTCAATGAGAATGTTGTAGGAGATGGTGTCAGAAGCCTTGCTTAAGGTAAGGGCCACTGCTTTCCCTCCAGCCTCATTGCCTGCCACCTTATTGTAGAAGGAAATCAAGTTGTTCAGGCATGACCTGCTCTTGGTGTATCCATTACGGCTGTTCCTAATAACATTTTTCTCTACATGTTTCACAGTAGACTTTTTGAGGAGCTTCTTCATGTTCTTTCCAGGTATTGAGGTCAGACTATCATTCCTGGGATCCTCCTTCTTCCCTTTCGTAAAGATGTGCTCTGTATTTTCCCTTTTCCAATCATCTGGGACCTGACCTGACTTCCACAAATTATCAAAGAACCAGAGGCTCTGAAATTACCTCATCTAGTTCCTTCAGTCCCCTAAGGTACATCCTATCTAGCCCACCAAATTGAAAACACTTAGCTTCTCTAGGTAACCCCTAACCTGTTCTGTCATTACTCTTGGCCAGGGGTAGGCAACCCCGGCATGTGTTCCAGAGCATAGCACACAAAGACAGTTTCCTTGCATGTATGCCTTGGGGAGGGAGCTGGGGTAGCACTGCTATAACAAGGACTGGGCCCCTCATGACTCCTCTGCCATCTGCCTTCGGTACACCAACATCTTACAAGTTGAGGTTGCGGGTGTTTTTGGCACTCTGACCAAAAATGTTACCAGCTCCTGTTCTAGGCTTTTTGACTTCTTGATCTTTGCTGCCAACCTTACTCATTATCTGGTTCCCACCCCCATTTGTGAAGACTGAAGTAAAAAAGAT